GTGGGAGAGTGATAAACTTTGGATTAGGTGAACTTGGACTCAGCTGACTGGCTAAGTGATAATGTTCTGGACTGAGGAACATCTCTTCTGTAACATGCTTGACCAGGGATGTGTGTAAATCCAAACCCCAAAGGCTCTCCCATTAACCATCACTGAGAGTCACCGAGCATGTTATTTGAGACAGAGTCTTAGTACTCCATGTCCTAAGGAATGGCTTGGGTAACTCATTAGTGTGCTTGATGTACAGAAAGATACGCTTACATCTTTATCATGGACAATTTATAGAACAGCTTTGCCAAGAACTAAAAATAACCTTGTTATGGGCTACCAATTTCTTTCTTGTTTCAGCAATAAAACTAACTGTCACTTAACTGTGAGACTATGCTAAGGCTGGATTAAGGCTTAAAATTTGAGGGTTGGAGTGAGCTGGGGTGTGGAGGGAGGAGAGAGAGAAAGAGTGACAAAGAGAGAGACAGAAGCCAACAGATAGACACAGAGAGTTAAAGAGACAGAACTAGAGAGAGAGAGAGAGAGACAGACAGACAGACAGAGACAAAGAGACAGCATGCTAAGAATCGAACCCAGAACCTTGTGAGTGCCAACCCTGTACTCCATCACTGTGGTGAGGCTCCAGTCCAGAAATATTTCTGCAAATCATAGACAACATGAAGAAGTTTATCATGTGCTTTGATAGGCTAGCCACAGAGTCTGCATTCCAGAGGGCCATGCAACAGGCCGGCTTGCATTTGATTTCTGCAGAGCTGGCTGCCTTTTTCTGAAAGTCTTACATTACAGGTAACCTGATGACAGGGAGTGGGCCACAGGCACGCATCACAGCCTGCCTGGCTCCCTCTGAGACTGAGACTCAATCGCTAGGATCAATGGAACTCTCCAGGGAACTAGCTGTTCCCTTTTCAAACTCCACCTCCCTAATCTCCCCACTGGCTCTAGGCAGATTCTTCAAAGCTCTGGACATAACTGGAACCCAGTATGATTAGGAAGAGCAATGGAAGAATGCTGTCCACAAACCACAGGCCAAGGCAGAAGGGCCACATCCATGGGCGGCTCATGGTAAGGCTCAGGACTGGAGAATATGGCTACACTAACTACAAACCAGGTGTCCTTAGTTTACTAAGGACCTACCACGTGTTCGACATTGTTCTGTATCTAGGTTAGGGTTTCTACCTAAGAAGTCTTGGAATTCTATAATGAGAGAAAGACACAAGAATCCAAAAGATTCTCCTCCCCAGAACAATATCATTCCTCACCTCAGTTGGAAAATAGTTAAGAAAAACAAAAACAAAAAAAAAGAGAGAGAGAGAAAATCCTAACCAGAGGGTACTCACAGAGAGCAACTCGATCTGTTCTGTTGTGAGCTGCTAATTAAATAAATAATATCACAGCTGTAAAGTGGTGTGACTGAGGTCATCGGAGGCAGCTTGGGTCTGTGGATGGCAACCTCACTGCTGCAGTCAGGAGAAAGAAAGCCCTCTGCCTGCGGAGGCAGGCTTTCTTCCCCACATTGTCGGCGATCATGGGAAGCTTTCTTCTCTGTACCACCAGTGTACGGCAGCCATCTAGCATTCTGATGTGCACCTAGGCCTCGCTTTGCTGAGCTAGTGCCCTGCTGAGCAGTGTCTCACTGAGAGCCCACCTGTCTGAAGAGAAGTCAACAGCAAAGTCTTCCATAAGTAGCATGCACCGCGTCCCCGACCATACAGGGAAGCAAAACAACATCCTAACATGTATAAATAAAATTAAAGGTCACAAATAAGTGTGTTAAATCACGAAGTTTTGTAAGTAGAAAGGGCCCATGCCTGTGCTGGCAAGGTGAGACTGCTTCAGCCTGGCAAGCTGAAGAAGCAAGACAGCCAGTAGTTGTCAGCGTTCAGAAAAGCCTGGTTCCATGGTGTGTCCTCCGCTGTGTATTTGGATAGTCGATAATTCTATAGTCCTTTGGGGCTGAAGTATGTATATTAGTATCTACAACTCATCAAAAAAATAATGGAGTTTCTCTTCTTATTTCTTTCAATTATTGCTTGTTATGACACTGCACCCTCAGCAAAACAGCAACAAACTTGCAATACAAAAAGACTCAAATTCAACTTATAAATTCAAACCCAGCCAAATTAGACTTGATGAACACATGTGTGCCTATGACTAACCGAGCACTAATAGGTACATTTACTCGTCTTGTACTCTTTACAACCAAGTATTGATACCCATGCGTGTGAGCAAAGAAAGACAGGCTCGGAGAGGGTGAGTCTGAGGGCAAGTCCACACGCTACCAGTGTGCTGCAGAGTTGAAATCTGTGCTTGTGTTTCTTGACATCTTCTAAGGACCATTGTTTCTCATTCCCTGTGACTGATGAGTCTCAGGTCAAACGCTGGGCCATTCACGCATTATTAAATAACAGGCCTCTCTCTAACTGGGAACAGTTTAATTGTGGAAATAAGAAAGTCTGAAACAAAACCGTGAACTTGTAGTTGACAGGTGTGTATGTGTGTGCAAAATAGAGTACAGGAACCTATTATCACACCTCACTTTATTTCCTTGGGAGAAATTATACATATATACTATATATAGTATATACAGCATATATACCATGTATAATATATATATATATAATATTGTTCCAGAACTAGAACAATAGCCTCTCCCGCTATTTAAAGCAGAAGTAAAGGTGCCTGTCCCCGTGCTCTGAGCATCTTAGAGGCTGGGAGTGTTTCTGAGACAAAACTCAGAAGACTCTGAAGGAAAAACATCATGTCGAGACGACACAATGCAGAGGCTCAAGGAAATATCTTATTAAAGAGTCACCGGAAGGACTAGGCTCAAAGCTGGCCTCCATTAATGACACCTGCTACTTCTGCTTCGGGTCTGTGGGAGATCCTAGCATCTTACATAGAATAACTTACTTTAAATGCATAGATGCCTAGGGAGTAAGTGCTCTGGAACACAGTCCAAAAGACTCTCTGCTTGTTGAACATCAGAGTATTGGAAGACGGCACGACAGGACACAGGGGCATCAGGATATCAGAATCCAGCTCTACAGGATGCAGGCCCGTTCCTGCATGCCTCTACCTTTTGTCAGTTAGAAAGAGTGACAATCTGGATAGCATAGGAAGGATACTATCTGGAGCGAGGGCCATGTCACAGGATTCATCTTGTGATTTATTTATTGAGGTTTCCCATTTTAAAACTGGGGGTAAAAGGCCCAGTCATGAGGCAAAAACAAGGCAAATACTTATGTAACTCTTCTTTGTGGCTCGAGAGATGACTCAGCCGTTAAGAGCCCTGACTTCTTGTCCAGAGGACCTGGGTTCAATTCCCAGCACCCACATGGCAGTGTAAAACTGTAATTCCAGTCCCAGGGATTCCAACACCCTCACAGACATACATGCAGGCAGAACATGAATGAACAGAAAATAAAAGTCAGTAATTCTTCTTTATGATGCAAAGCCTGTGCGTGATACCAGAATATGTAACATGGCCCAATAATTAGATGCTGCTATATACAAAGCATAGATATCCCTAACTAAGATATATTGTCTTCATAGGTGGTCACCTGATAAGGACTCCAGTGACCTAGAGTTTTGAAGAGATGCCTGTGATCTTGAAATAAGTCTGCTTGAGAATGAAAAATTAAATATAATAAAACTATAGTTAGTGTGCTGCAACACACTAGTGGGACTGTTATTCTATAGAGATCATAGACAACTAAACAGAGTCATCCAAGAGATGTCAAACTGTCTGGCAAGTTCCACTTCTGCATGGCAGACAGTGTACATGCTGAGAACCTAGTCAGCTCTAAAGCTTTCTGTTCTGATTATTAGTACTGTCACCTCATCTCTGACAGCACTGTCACCATCTTCGCCCTCACCAAAGCACCATGAAACTCCAGATGGCTGAAGTGACTTGGCTAAGGCCTCACTGACAGTCACACTGCCACCCAAGCTTTCTAGCCCTCACCCAGATCTCTAAACTCTAAGTGCTTACATATTTTTTCCTGTATGGGCTTCTGACACTGCTATCATAGCAAGGATATTCCATCAGTGTGTATTTCCAAATCTATGTTTTCCCAAATCTATGCTTTAAGCAGGGGAATTCCAATGCTTTTTGTGAGATGATTTGTTTCTTTGAGAGAAGGAACTTGATAGTGGGTGGCTAGGGTTTGTGTTGAACATACCAACAATTATGACCCTTGGTATAGAGTCTATATGAATAAGCACATTGGTCATAGGAAACAATGTTCATTGCTTTAAATTATTGCATGGTATTTTGTCAATCACTCCTTTTTTAGGCTGTTTTTTATTGATTTTTATTGAGCTATACAATTTTCTCTGCTCCCCTCTCTTCCTCTCCCTTCCCCTTCAACCCTCTCTCATGGTCCCCATGCTCCCAATTTACTCAGGAGATCTGGTCTTTTTCTACTTCCTATGTAGATTAGATCGATGTATGTGTCCTCATTGTTGTCTAGGTTCTCTGGGACTGTGAATTGTGGGCTGGTTTCCTTGTTTTATGTCTAGAAGCCACTTAAGAATGAGTACATATGATATTTGTCTTTCTGTGTCTGGGTTACCTCACTCAGTATGATGTTTTCGAGATCCATCCATTTGCCTGCTAATCACTTCCTAACACATTTCCATCTCTTGCCGTGAGATTGGTGAAAACACAGCACACCCTGAAAACTGTCCATATTCTAGGACCACGCTATTTCTTGTCGCAACCCTTTCCATTGTCCTAAAACTGCATACAGAGTACCCCTCAGAAGAGGGTGGCAGACTGGAACACGCGGGCTGATGTCACTAGGCACTGGTCACAGCTGGACCATTTGGTTGCCGGGCTAGGCCAGGTTTTTGCATTGACTATCACCTACATGCTCCATAAGCGTTAAATAATCAAAGACAATTTTTCCCTCATTAGATACGCTTGGAAGAGAGAATACTCCTGGAATCTGATGAAGACCTCTCTGGGTGTGGAGGTGAGGCGCGCTTACCGTCCAGGTGGCCGACTTGGCGGTGCTTGACTGCTGGAAGGACACATCGAAGCTGTGTGGGCCTGGGTAGTCTGTGTTGGAAGGGATGGCAGGGGATGGAGAGAGGGCATCGAAGGTGGAGCTGGGCTGTGCGTAGGGCGAGGGCGCCGTCACGCTGTTTTGTGCGTGGTCTGTGTTGTAGGGGCTGGTAGATGACGAGCCATTCTGAATCTGCTGGTCCATGCTGTTCAGGAGCCCCAGGTTCGTGTACTGTGGCTGCAAGGACACCCACACACCCCGATGTTAGTTGTGTAAGCCACAGCTCGTTGCTCAATAGAATCATAAAATAAATAAATAAATAAAAGGTATCATTTGGTGTCCTTTGTGAGAAACTGGACATAAGATCCCAAACACTTCATAACAAGTAAAGCCACCCACCCCTGGTTAAAGGAATTATCCAGTACAGCTGGGTGAGTGTTGGAAGATGGAATTTATGCTTACCCAAAACAGGTACAAAGCGCCCAGGGCACAGTACTGCTTAAATATTATTTGAAATAAATGCTGTCTGCATTTATTGCTTTCTTAAAAGAAACAAAAAAGCCGCATACAATATTTACAAGGGAAAGAGACCAACTGAGAGATTTTAGGAGTTGAGCATCAAATTATTGTAAATATAGGGCAAATTTTCTTTTTAGCATTAAATCTAAATTTATTTGACAACCAAGTCAGTTCTCAGTGAGATGTTTATGGAATTTGTCAAAATCTTCTTATTTACCTGCAAAACAACTTTCTCATTACCAAAGAGGGAAAGTGATTTTATCCAAGCACGGCCCACCAGAAAGAGTAGAAGTTCTGTAGCAGCCTTAGGTCAGCTGGCAATGACAGCCTCCCTTCACCCGAGTTATACTGAGCCTGTCTCCTGAGGGGTCACTGGCTTGTGGGGCTTGTGGGACAGTTTCTCTTGGGGGAAGTCCTGTTACCCACCTAATGAAGGGAAGGAGAACCCCCTCACACTCCACTGGTGGATATTCTTAAAAGAAAACAAGGAGGTTAGTTTTTCAATAGGAATATAACCTCAAGAGACCCAGGCTGTGGAATATGAGAGAGAACTAAAAAAATATTTTAAAATATTAAAAAAAAGAAGGAAGAAAGAAGAAATGAGGGCTTGAATTTTGTTTTCCATTTCAAACTCTAATAACATGATAACATGATTTTATCCAACTTAATTCTGTCCCAGGAGGAACTAAATGGGTTCAGTCATTCCATTCAGTCCAGAGAGCATCTGCCACAAGGCCCAGGCCGCACACCCAAGCCATTACCATTCATGCGCTCACATTCCACTGCTGAATGCCTCCTCCCTTTCGCCCAGTAAAGAACCATTAATCTATTTACACTTAGCCCCACGCTGACAAGAGCAGCTGCTTGTCTCCTCTTCTCTCCCTTCTGACTTTGTTGCTCCTACCCCTCTCCTCTTGCTAGCCTCGACCTCCCTTCCAGACAGGTGTGCTGTGGCTAAACTACAGGTAGACACCTAGGGGAGAAAAATAAATAAATAAGACCCGGGGCGGTACAAAGGTGTCTACACTGAACTAAAGCTTTTAGGTACCAGGCCGGAGGCCATGGTTTGGGAAGGGAATTGAGGAAATCGTATTTGTGTTTAGTTAAGGGTCAGTATACAGAGCACTCTAGAAAGTCCTGTAGGGATCAGATAATGCCGGCAAGGGCGCGTGCTTCCCTATAGCAGGACAATTAGGGAGGCAGTGGTCCCTGACCAGAAGGAAAGAGAAGCTAGCTGAACACTTTCTCGCAGGCAGTAAATGACTGCTGTCGCACCCCTCCCCGCCCCTCCGGCTACACAGCAGAAACATCAGCTAATTGTGGGCTTGGAGGAGAACAAAGACACACCGGCCCTTTGAATTCCCACCCCCCCCTCCAAATACATAGAGAGAAAAAAGTTGGGGGCCCCCCGAGTTTTAAAAGCCAGTAAGCAAACACATCAATTCTCCGAGGACTTAAGCAAAAGTCAAATTCCATTCACAGAGGCATCTCAAAGGCAAGCCCTGCCCTGGCTGCAAGGCTGAGCACAGCTGACACCGAAGAAGAAACTTCCAGAGAAGAGTCTTGCACAGCTAGCTGAGAGCCCCGCGGCTGCTGACAGACCTGCTTCGGATGCCATGCTTAGGTCTACGCAGCTGAGTAAAACCCTAGACTAGAAGCAGCATGATTTGTCCTGACGAATTCCTTAATATACGCAATATGAACCTAAAGTTCTCAGTATTGAGGAAGCTCAATTTGCTATCCAGCAATAAAAAGGAGAAAAATCACTTCAATTTAAATTCCTCCCAAATGATGCTTTAAAAAGAAATCAATCCAAGTACTATACTCAATTGTCTCTTTTTTTTAAAAAAAAAAAATTATAAATCCAGCACTTCTTATTGTGGGCTTAGATGAGAACAAAGAAACACATCTTTGAATTTTTTCTAATGTCCATAAAGAGAAATGAATAAATAGGGGTGCAGTAAAAACATATACGGGGAAGCCCTCCTTGGACACATTTATTATGTTGTTAGGATTCAGTTAGTCGACAGCCACAGGATATAGCTCTATAGAAGTTGAATTTGAAATATTCAGCGTTTAAACAAGTTCTCGCTCGCTTGCTTCTTCAACTGGAGGAGAGGTTGCAGGTGTTGACTTAAGAAGGGTAAGTCAGCGTTGGTCAGAACGGGAAGAGTTTCCCAGACAGGCCAGGAAAACAAACTCTACTACTTAACGCAAGATGAAAATTCAGGGCCTCTACACACATTGGGAAGCATTTTTAAAGTGTGATATGAGAAAGCTAAGCAGTGCCCGATGGCGTTCTGGAGATGTTTCCTGTAGGCCTTAAATGGGAAGTTTTCACTTTACTGCGCTTGATCCTCACAGAAATCATCACAAGCAGCAAAGTGAAGCTGGTGGAGGGAAGGGAACACTACTGTCCCCTTCTTTACTTGTGGCCATACCGTGGACACATAGAGGAGCCAGGACTTATACTTATGATCACTGATGATGACCAGGAGGAGTATCAGACACTAGAACGTGGTATTTGTGACTCAGACATGAACACTGCCCTGGAAAGAATTCCGTTGGGTCTTTGTGTTTCTTGTGCCACAAAGAATGTCAGGGCATTTGAAATGAAGTATGGAGGAGAGTCTCCTTTTCTAATGACAAAGGGTCTTGATCTCAGGTGCACACATACACAGAAAGAATGAATGCCCAAGTTATGCCCTGTCTTATCACATCTGACAGGAAAGGTAGCCTTCTTTTCAGAAAACATGAACACAGAAATGGGCACCATTTGTCCGTTACTTGCTACACTCCTTATAAAATAAGACACTTGATTTCCTCTGACATTACCCAACTGGTTAATTTTCTGTAGAAGTTACTTGGAAATAAAAGACTCCCTGACTGGACCCGAAATATCAGCCAAGCTTCTCCCTGAAGCATCTTCACATCCATCACAGATTAGTTGATCTTCACACTGAGAGGGTGAAACACAGAGTGCCCACAAGGCTAGACTACACTCTGGGATGTCATGGAACACCCTTAGAATGTTAGGGAGCCCAGATACGGTTGTGACAAAAATAGGGGTCCCCATAGATAAAAATCTGTTTGCTTTCATCAGGAGGAAGGAACATGTACAATTATCAGTTACCAAATAGAAGGAAGAGCATTGCCTCTGTCTCCCGCTTCCGTGTAAGCCCTGCATGCTTTAGCTGACCGCGCCGATCTGTACACCACTGGACATCAGAATTAAGAAAACACCAGAGGAGCCTAGATTTTTCTCTGTATGATTTTTCAAAACATCTTAAGAACACAACTCTTGAAAATTAACACCAATAAAGTATCAAATCAAGTTATTTGGACACTGCCTTGCAAATGGGGCTTAAGTAAAACTTGTGTATATAAAAAAGTAATCTCTCCCCACAAATCCATCACTAAAAGGCAAATATACCAATCTCTCCTTCTTGGATATTGCTGTCTATGCTGGGTATGTTGAGATCATGTGGAAAAATAACTAGCATTTCATCTGGAAAAGTATTTTTGGCTCTTGACTGTCTGTTAGGTAAGGCTAGGGGATTAGACAGCCTCGGCACTTCTCATGTTTCTACTCGGATTTTAGAAGTGTAACAGAGCTCTCAGGCTGGTGGCATGGGATTAAGTCCTGGCACTATCAGCAATGTGCTCTTCCCCACGGGGTGAGGAAGGTGAGCAAATTTGACCCCAGTTTCCTATGGGCTGAGAATCTCATAAAACCACGAAGACAATGGAAAGACAACACCAGTTCTCACATCCTAGTAGCCCAGTTGCGAAGTGATTTTTAAAACAGTGTTATGATCCTACTTTCACAGCAGGTTCATGAAATCGTCATTTTGTCTTTGTTAAGATTTGCCTGGTCAAATCTAAAAAAAATTGTTCTGTTTCAGTGGCATAGCTAGTTTCCTCAGTGGGTATAGTCTCTGACCTTGGGCTTTATGGGTCTCTGTGAGCCTTCTATGGCTCCCCTGGGAAAAGAAAAGTTTCTTCATGGCCTTGGCTTTATAAAGTATCCATTCCCTTACATGTTAGCACACAGACAGCATTTTCATCCAATAATATAAGCAGGGTAGAGATATTCAACAAGCACTGCCCGAGGGAGAAATGCTTGTCATTTTTAAGTCTCCCACCACCTGTCCCCATTCAGAAAATGATGGTTTGTTTTATGCTAGAATTGATCATAATTAACTTCAAGCATGCTGTTTGAGGTCAGGAAAATATTTATAGAAGAATGTTTAGTTAGATCAACATCTTTTTACCTTAAATGTGTAGGTACTATGATCTTTTCTGAAAACAGTATTTTATTAAACATAAAGTATTTTTCTTCTTTTGTTTGTTACATAATCATAAAATGTGAGTACCTGGAAACAAATGTACCCATTCATACAATGAACAAAATGCAAGAATAAAGTATTAAAACAAAAACAAATCTAGAGTATAGGCAGAATGCTTACTAGACTGTTTTATCATAAAGTTTTGACAGTCTTAGAAAACAAAGTTTCTATGACTTATGACAGATGTCTTTAAGAACTCCATGAACAGTTGAGACAAACAGATTAAAGTTTGCTGATCAAGGGGACAAGGATGTCAACAAATGCTACACAGAGTTTTGGAAGGCAGAATATGTTGAAGATAAAACATAGCTAAAGAGAAGTGTAAAAAGTTCAGTTAAGGAAGAGTGAAAATTTAATTCAAGGACTTTA